TCCACTACATCTTTAACTTTGGGGTAAATACCCAGTAGTGCAATTGCTGGGTCATAGGGTAGCTCTATTTTTTAACCTTTTTTTTTTTTTTAAAGATTTTATTTATTTATTTATTTGACAGACAGAGATCACAAGTAGGCAGAGAGGCAGGCAGAGAGAGAGGAGGAAGCAGGCTCTCTGCAGAGCAGAGAGGCTGATGCGAGGCTCTATCCTAGGACCCTGGGACCATGACCTGAGCAGAAGGCAGAGGCTTTAACCCACTGAGCCACCCAGGTGCCCCTATTTTTAACTTTTTAAGGAATCTCCATACTGTTCTCCAAAGTGACTGCACTAGCTTGCATTCCTACCAACAGTATAAGGGGGTTTCCCTTTCTCCACAACTTCCCCAACATTTGTTTCTTGTCTTGTCATTTTTTGCCATTCTCACTGGTCTAAGGTAGTATCTCCATGTGGTTTTGATTTGAATTTCCCTGATGGCTAATGATGATGAACATTTTTTCATATGTCTGTTAGCCATTTGTATGTCTTCTTTGGAGAAGTGTCTGTTCACGTCTTACCAGTGGGCAGTTGTGTTGTTAGAAAGTAAATATTCATTGGCCTCTAAAATTCTTTAAATTTGAAAGGGCTTTAATATTTCAATATGTATAAAATAATAAATGTATAAAATATTTAATATTTAAAATGTTTACATTTAAAATGTTTACATTATGTCTAACAATACCCATCAGAAATATTAAATCTTTGGGGCATCTGGGTGGCACAGTAGGTTAAGTATCCGACACATGGTTTTGGCTCAGTTCATGATCTTGGGGTTGTGGAATTGAGCCCCACAGGCTCTGTGCTCAGTGGGGAGTCTGCTTCTGCCTCTCTCCCTCTGCCCTCCCCCTCTAAAATAAATAAATAAATCTTAAAAAAAGAAATATTGAATCTTTGCTATATGAGTTAAAGTAATAATTTTCCTAATTTGATCCCATTATCATTACTAACAGCCAAAATTTACCTGATGATTTACTATGTTTCAGACAGGTAAGGTCTTTCCAGGTTTTAATACTCCTTTAATCTTCACAAAATCTTTATAAGATTGGAATTATCATCCCCATTTTATGGGGATTTATTATATTCCACATACTTGGTATATCCATTTTACATGGTATATTTATATGGTAGATAGGAATGAAGTATAACTATAGTTATATTTAAAGGGAAATATTTGAGGTTTTTGCTTCCCAGTTACTCAAAAATATAAATAAAAAGTTTGCTCTTTTGGCTTCTAGGCCTCGCGACATTTTCCATTAATCTCTTCTCCTGACATCAGGTTCCCAAAGATCCCATTTCTCCCGAAATCCAGTTTTGAAGTTAGCCTAAATTACATAATAATATGTACATAATGAATTATATAAATAATGTAGTGCACAAGTGACAGTCATCTACTGTATCTCAGAATTTTTTGAATTCTGAAAACACACTTAAAATGGCTAAGGTGTGGAATTTTATGTGGATTCTTTCATCTTGTTATGTTGATTATAAGCACTCAGATTATCTCTGTAACAAAAGCCTGTTCTTATCCAGAAACCATCTTTTGTTCTGTTTCTCCGGGAACTAGATAAGCCCCGCTGAGATACAGGTCTCAAGGCGTGGCCAAAATCCCTACTGGCCAAGGCCAAAGATGACAAGGCATAAATTCTCCAGTGCTGAATTCTCCAGTGCTGGGCGCGCTGATCACAGTATCATGCTGTTCTGTCGTTGCTTGCTAATATAAAAAGACGTGATGTTTTAGTACAGGACAGAGGTGTGTTGTGAAGGGTTAGACCTTGGGAGCTTGATACGGAAGTCACTAGGTGCTCATCCCCGCCCCCCGCCCCCCGCCGTCCCCGCTCAGTTGATTCAGAGGATCATTTCCACTTCTCCCCAACTGACACCTTTCTTTCCTATTAAAGAGTTGGGTTTTTCACTGGAATCCTTTGTTACGTAGTTTGAATCACTTCTTAATATTGGCAGTTAACGTTCTTTATTTCTCAAAAGGTCTGGTGCTTCTTGGAGTAACTGTGATTTCATTGGCAACCCCTCTCCCCTGACCATGCTATAATGTACTGTTTATGCATGAAACATGCTTGCTGTATTTACCACTCTTCCTTGTTGTTCTGAAAAGATATATAAGCGTTGTAAAAAACCGCTTTCATCTCTCAAATGCAATACTGCTTTAAAGATTTTAAATGCCTAATATTCTAAATCCTATGCAAAAAATCAGGGGCACCTGGGTGGCTCAGTGGGTTAAAGCCTCTGCCTTCGGCTCAGGTCATGATCCCAGGGTCTGGGGATTGAGCCCCGCATCTGGCTCTCTGCTCTGCAGGGAGCCTGCTTCCTCCTCTCTCTCTCTGCCTACCTGCGATCTCTCTTTGCCAAATAAATAAATAAAATCTTAAAAAAAAATCGATTATCATTATATTCTTTTTAGTGTTATAAAGAATAATATGTGGTATCTCTTAATTGTGCTGAATATTAGGATTTAGTTATTAAAAGTAGATCAAGGAAGGAGCCAAAATAATTATGACTTTTGGTCCATCCACCATATAAAAATTTAGATGTAACTCCTCAAAAAAGTATTTTATTTTTTTTTAAAAAGAGGTTTGAAAGAATATCATTTTTTTCTTGAAGAGTATCATGTACATGAGAATTCATGAAATATGTTTCTCTAAATTTAGGATGTGGGATAATTTTTGAAATGTTGAGGTTTTTATCTTTGACTATTAGAAGCCAATTCTCTTGTGCCTTAACAGTGAAATAATAATTCAGGAGCCCATACTGACAGAAGAGTACTTCCTTTTTTTATTCAATAAGCGCTTATGCATGTTTTTGTACCTTTTATACATTTTAGGTCCTTATCCAACAAGAACATATGTATGCAAACCTCCTATCACAGATTGTCTCATTAAGATCTTAGTGGAGAATTTAAAAATAGAACTGAAGTAATACTACAATGAGATTCAGTGAGAGTGAGATTTTTGGAGGGCTTTCTTACACAGATGCAACGTAGTTGAAGGATGAAGAGAATGGCTTTGCCTTAGATTTTTAATTACCTGAGACTTACAACAGTTTTGGAAGTAGGCAAGAAAATGACCTTTCTTCCCATTTCGGGGAGGGAAAGAATGGAAGCCCAGAGAGATGACATGGCATTGCCCAACAGAGCAAGGCTGAGTAAGCAGCAGAGTGGGGACTGGACCGAAGTAGGACTTGTGATGTCTGGTCTACCACCTGGTGAAGATGAATGAATTATGGGTAGAGAGACACTTGGCATAGGAAGAAGCAGATAGGATTTTATAGTTTCTGGTTTTTACATACCTTTGAAACCCAGAGAAATATTTTGTGTTAGTATTAGATATAAGCTCATCTTGAAATGACTCAAAGTAAGGTAGAGATGTTCCCAAACATGAAGTCATACCATGCTCCTTCAGTGTTGGGTAATAGAATTCTCTTTTGTGTATTCTGTCCTTCTGTGCCTACAGCTGTGCTCTCACTTCTTTTTTCAACTTGAACAAAGTATAGTTAATAATTCATACATTAGAGTGTTAAGATTATAGTTCCCCAAATATCTTCATCCTTTCCTATAAGGTATTTTATGCCAACATATGGCTTCAACTTGGGGTTTTTAAAAATCTTTCCATTCATTCATTCATTCATTCATTCATTCAAACAAGTGCTCACTGTGAGCCACTAACATCCCTGATGATACAGAGATGATTAGGCATAGTATCTGGAGCTCCTCAGTGTAGTAAAGAGAAACACGTAAACTAATACTTTTCTGCTAAAGCAATAAGCATTATGATAAAAGTAAGCATGAGGGAGGCCCCACAGAAAGCTAGAATAAATGTTAACAGTGCCTTTGGGTTCAAAAGAGGTTTCTTGAAAGAGATGGTGTCCGAGCTTAATATTTTAGGGCAAATAGGAATTTATTAGGAGAAAAGGTGCGTATTTTCTTACTTTTACCTACAAGTAGTTAACCTACTTCCGTTTCTCAGACATTGTATACATTGTTTCTTATTCTTTGTTCACATTATTTCATGTGCATTCAGAATTGCTCAAATATCCAGTTTCTCAAAGCTTTTCCAAATCAGACTCTTTGGATTGAATAGAATTTAGAAATTCTCAGATTGTCTACCATTTTACTAGTTTGTTGCTGTGGTTAGAACATTTTTTTTCTCGTAAATAATACAACATTATCTTTGAATATATCTTTGAAATATTTGTTTTTTGTTATATTTGAGGTATTTTGAAAGACTTATTAAAAAAGTTGTGATAGTGTTCTTGAACTTAAAATTCACTACTGGTTGCTTTAGAAGAAAAAGTCTGTAAAATATTAAAATGTTATACAGGGGTTTAATGATCCCCCAAATATAACTTATTTAGAGGGGAGAAAAACTTACACACACCTGTATTTTATTATACATAGTATAACACATGAGCAGTCCTCTGTTATATGAATGAACACAATTATGCTTTTTTGTATAATGTAAGAATCACATTATTTACTCTTAAACAAATTACAGGATTATTTCAGCTCCTTTTGTTTCAAACCATTTGTTTTTTTAGGTGGACTGAAAATTTTACTAACTCAGCTCATTTTGAAATATCTTGCTTATATATCCATCTGTTGTATGTCTCAAGATTGAAATTTAGGTCAAATTACAACTTGAATTTAACTTCACAAAGAAAATAAGTGTGCCATCTTTAAAAATTGCTTTCTAAATTTTAAACACAATAGATCAAAGTACATCTCATTTAAATATATACTCTGGAAAAGAAGTCTCAATTATTTTCTCCCAAACTTTCTTAAAATAGTCCCTGTTCTCAATATAAAATGTGAGAGTTAGCTTTATTATTTGAAAGAAAGATGAAAAGTTGTTTATTTTAAAATTTTAATGATTTTGCTTTCAAATTATGGAAATTCTTCTTTGGGGACATCTTTATTTGAATTGTATGTGACATTATATTTATTTCTTAAGGCCATGATTAAAAGTTTCGTGGATGTCTACCAGCTTGCAAGTGCTAGAATTGCTACATTAGAGAAAGAAATGACATCTCATCGAAGTCACATTGCAACGTTGAAGTCAGAACTTCACACGGCTTGTTTACGAGAAAATGAAAGTTTACAATCAGTAAGTCCTACAACATTGCTTTTCTTCTTTGTGTCTGGGGTCACAAGTTTACATTCATATTTTCTTGTTCATGAGATTTGCCAATATATATAATTTAGGGTAAGTGATCAATCAAGCAATGTGAAATTGTTAGTGTGGAGAAAATTTTGAAGAAAGAGAGGCAATTAATTTTTCCATTGTATCACGTATAAAGATATGCGCACTGTTAGCAATGCTAAAACACCACATCAAGATTCCTTTGTGTTCGGCAGCCCAGCTGACAGTTGGATTGGGCAGTACGCATAGTTAAAGCTTGCAACTGTCTGAAGATTCAGTGTGTCCCATTAAGACAGAATATTATTAATTATGCGTATAACCAAAATGGTAATTAGAACATGTGATTATTCTCTGTAGAAAACTAGACTTATCCATAATACATGCCTAGCTAAAGATGCATGTTGTGATTCATCTATATGATTAAAATTCAGTTTCAGCAGTCATTTTTATGTCTTAAAATTTTAGCCCATGATGAAATTTGGGCTCATTTAAGAGTAAACAAAATTTTCTTCATTTGAAATACGTGTTTGGGGTGTATCAAAAAATGAATAAAGGAACCAAATAAACATTTAAAACATTTCCTCCAAAGGCAAATATATCAACAGTGAACTTCAGAAGGTTACCAATCACTGGAGTGCCTTTTTTCCTTTTTTGGCCTGATTATAATGACTCAGGGTGACTTGTAAGGAAAAACAATATCACTTTTTTTTTTTTTAGATCCAGTGCAGTAATTTATTTAAAAACAAAAACAAAAACTCAGTACACCAGCACACCAGTAGCCTAGTCAAAAATTCCACATTTTGAAAATCTAAGTCTTTTTAAAAAATATTTTTGCCTTTGGCTATTAACCCTTTTCAACTGATACATTCAACAGAAGAAGACTTAGTATTAAAGCAAATAGCTGCGTGGCTATGGGTTGGTTCTATGGCCCCATTAGATCTCACCTCAGGTGTCTGCATCCCAATGAAACCTTTATGACCATCATATTCAAAATTGCAGCTACCAACCATTCCCCACCCCCAAATTCTTTGTCTCATTCTCACCCCAAATGGCCTGTCTACCTTACACCTTCTTTGCTTTCTTTCATTATAGTACTTATTCTTGATTGGCATAAATTGCGTTGTATTTATTTGCTTATTATCTGTTCCCTACTCTCATAGAATATAAGTTCCATAGAGACAAGCAATTTGGGGTATTTCTTCTCTGCTCTGACAGCGCTCTAAAGGCAAGAACAGCCTTGCCCACAGTAGGTGCTTAACTAATGTCTTGTGAGTGAAAATACTAGCACTACATCCAATAAAATGACCAAACCAATAATTTGGGACCTGAGATGTTGAGTTCAATTTAAAAAAAAAATGGCTGTTAATTTCTTAATGAGAGAGTAGTAAATTTGATCTCTACCAAGATAAATTAAAATGAAGAGGAAACCTATTTAAAAAATTAAAGCATTTGAAATTTTTTCTAGCCTTTCTGTGAAACATACTTACATTTCTCCCTGTGAATGCTCTGGTCCCGTTGGTTGGTATTTCATTATACTGTCTAGGTTCCTTTAGCTTTATTGGGTCATATACTATACTACTATTGTTTGTTACTGTTATGCATATAAAAGTAAATACTTGCATTTTAAGAAAGGCCACACTTGATAAGGTGGGATTGTTTCCCCCTGGATTAAAAAAAAATTATTATTATTTTTTTTTACCAATTATTGTCCTACTGATGTCTTAATGAAAGTGTGCCTGTCTGTCATCATAAAACTCTACTCCCCAACCTTTCTCCTCCACATCTGTAAGGATATGCTCATCATCTTGTTTGTACGAGGTGGTTTTCACCCTGGCAGTGATTCTCAAAAGGGGACGTGTGTCATGTGAAAAACCTCCCAGCAGGTTATGATTTGTCGTTCTAGGAAAACGCTGCCCTATCCTGTGTCCCTACGGGGTGTTTACTCTGATCTCTTTCCTTGGTTGAGACTTAGGATTTTTGAAACAGCAATAAGTTGCTATAGTAATTTTATTTTTCAAGACATTTGTGTATGCATTTCAACCTTGAACTCCTTAAGAACTCTCTGGGGGAGGTGGAAAGAGCCTCAGTCTTTTCATAGTATTTCATAGAGGAGAGGTGATAGAGTTTCGTAGATAGGAGCAGAGGCTTTTGAATTATACTCATTAGGAATATAATCAAGTGTAAATAACAGAAAACCTGATCAACGTAATTTGAAAAATCCTGGTTCTGTGTTTTTTCTTTTTCTTTTTTTTTCCTCACATAGCAAGAAGTCTAGGTGTAGGTCGCTGTTGTCCTGTGGCTCTTGGTGGTTTAGCTTCTCTGTGATTTCTCTGCTACTCCCTCAGTATCATAAGACAGCAGCCAGCTCTAGGATTTATAATCACATTCAAGTTATGAGGATGGGATGGCCCAACAATATTTGCTTTTTGTATATAATAAAGCCTTAGAAGGCTTTTCCTTTAAAAACCATTTAAGTGTATTTTACATAGATTTAATTTAAATATTTATAAATTTTAATATACATTTACTAGATAATAGATAGTAAATATATGGAAATATATTTATTTATATATTTTAAAAAGGAAAAGCCTTCCAAGGAAGCTCCAAACATATTTGCACTTACATCCCATTGGCTGGGCCATGTGGCCACTTGTAGCTGTAAGGTAATGAGTCAAGGAACAAGGGAATTAGGAATCAATAGTGTGTGCTAATAGAAATCAATAAATCTGGATTTAATTTCAATTCTGTCAATTGCTCATTGTGTGGCTAAGTAGGGTCTTCATCTGTAAAATGGGGTAATGGTCCCACTCCTTAACAGAGATGCTGGGAGCTCCAGTGAGAAGTGTTGAAGCACTTTGCTTTGTACTTACTGAGTAGTCAGTCCAAAAAGAAAAAAAAAAAAACCAAACAGTTGGCTTTTTTTTTTAAGATTTTATTTATTCATTTGAAAGAGAGAGGGATCACAAGTAGGCAGAGAGTCAGGCAGAGGGGGAAGCAGGCTCCCTGCTGAGCAGAGAGCCCAATGCGGGGCTCGATCCCAGGATCATGACCTGAGCTGAAGGCAGAGGCTTAACCCACTGAGCTACCCAGGCACCCCGGCTATTATTTTTATCACCATTATCTTGATAGAAAGTAATTGGATTGCACCACAGGAAAAGATAATTTACTAACCTACCATCTTCGGTTGCAAACCCTGTCATTTTGTTCTGCCTCCTACTGTAGCCTTGAGCTTGTGATTCCTCCTCTGTGATCACCGTCAGTATATTCCAGTGACTGAGCTCTCCACCCTTTCTGCAGCCCGTATCCCCTCCTTTCATTGACACATTCTTGAAAAGTAGTCCACTTGCTTCTTCTGTATTCTTGTCTCCCATTCATTCCTCAGCTCTGCTGCTATCTGGCTTTGGAGTCTATCATTACACTGAAACTATTTTCTCAAAGGTCACAAATAGTTTTCTGCTTGCTCCCATCCATTAGTTCCTTCTTATGCCTTTTAATCTTTCTTCAACGTATGAAGTTTTTAACTACTTTCTTCTTTAAATGCTCACCTCCTTTGTTTCACTTGTTATTGACTTTTTCTTCTTTGACTTTCTGGTCTCTACTTACTTGAGCTCTGCTTTCTTTGTATTCTTTGTATTCTTGCTTCTTAATTTTTTCTTTATCTGTTAGTTCAATATTTATTCAGCATCTACTCTAGAGCAGGCATAATTCTGGTCCGAGGGACATTATGTGAACCAAAGCAGACAATCCTGCTCTTGTGAACTTAAAATCTAACAATGGAAGAAATTATTTTCATATAATCACTCTAATATGTAATTACTAACCAGGATAAGTGCTCTGAAAGAAAAGAACTGAAGCATGTAAGAGTTTTTGAAACAAATGAGCTTACCATAGACTAAGGTAACAGCAAAGCTTTTTCAGGGTCAGTGATGCTTGAGTTAGTATCTGAAGACTGGGTAGGAGTTATGCGGAAGGACAGTAGTGGCCCAGATCAGGAGGAGGAATGGGAACATCTGGAAGGCCCTGTGAAGGACAGAAGAAATTGAGAAATACCAGTGGGGCTAGAATAAAGAAAGCAGAGCCAAGAGTGGCCTGAATGAGGGAAGGATGGTCTGGAGAGGGACAGAAGTCAGACTTTTTCCTCCTTGTTTTAAGAGCAAGGGAAAAGGCATTGGAAAACTTTAAAGAAGGAGTGACTTTCTCAGATTTGGTTTTTTAAAAAAGATCCCTTTGGCTGTTGTGTGAAGGAACAATTGGGTGTGAAGAACAAGAGAAAGGGGTATGTGAGATAATTCCTGGACTTTTTCCTTTTGGAAATGGATCAATGATCTCATTTACCGAGAGAGAAACAATGGGAATAGGAAGGAATATTGTGAGTTTAGCTTTGAGTATGTTGAGTTTGAGGTACCTCTCAGACATCCAATTGGAGAGATCAAAAACGCTGCTTGATTGGGAATTTAAGCCAGATGCCAACCAGGAGGTATACATTTTAGGTCATTGCCATATAGATAGGACTTGAGGCTGTTCGCAAGAGTGAGACCATATGTAGGGATGGTTTATAGAGTAAGAAGAAAAAAAGGCCTAGGTATGAATCTTGAAAAACTCCAACATACAATGCTTGAGAAGAAGAAGATAAGGTTGGAAAGGAGGCTGTGAAGGAATAGGCAAAGAGGTCAAAGGGAAACCAAAAAGGTGTGATGCCATGAGAATGGAGTGTTTTAAAAAGGGTGGCGTATCGATAGTGTCATATGCTGCTGAAGATCAAGCGAAAGGAGGATTGAAAATGGCCTTTGGATTTAGTGGATGGAGGCCCTTATAACCTTAGCAAAGGCTCTTTCAGTGACAGATGGAGAGATAAGTGAGAGTTGACCAGAAAAGAAAAAAAGACAGTGAATTTAAACAACCATCTCAAGGATTTAGCTGTTAAGTGGGAGACTGGGATGGAGTATTCAGAGCAGGTTCAGGGA